TCTTCCAGAGTCAACGGAATTCCCAGGTCCAGTAAACTGCAAATGTCAGGCTTATATTCCATAGCCAGCCTCCTCCTCAGGCCCTTGGCTAGACATGTGGGTCCCTACATCCCTTGCATCAATGCTGTGTGTTAACCAGAACACTCTGGTGGTCAAAATGAAGTCCTGTGGACAGGAAGTCTAAAACAACAGAAGTCTGTTTTTTGTTTGTTTGTTTTTGTTTTTGTTTTTTTTTTCACAGTTCTGGAGACCAAAGCTGAAGATCAAGCTGACGTGGAGGTTGTTTTCCAGCGGAGCATCTTTCCCTGGAGTGGAGAGGGCCACCTTCTCCTGTGTCCCCAACTAGCTTTGTCCCTCTGCTTGTGGACGCTCTCTGTCTCTACCTATTCTGTTGAGGACATGGTCCGACTGGATCAGGCCCCTCTTTGATGTGCTCATTTGACTTTCACTCAAATCCAGTCCTGGGGGCTTAGGATTTTGGAGGAAGAGATTTGAGCCCATAACACCCTCCTTTTCTTGGTGTTCTTCCTTATGCTATGGGTTCACAGCATATCTCCCATTTCCTGATCTCTGATGAACCAAAAAACCTTCGCTTTTGTGCATCTCAGCAGGACAGGTTGATGAGTCGAACTCTTGGTTTTCTTCTCTGCTTGTTGATGGCTGGGTTTGGACTCCTAATATTTTGCTCTGTGCACATCACACCCGGGAAGTCATGGAACCATAGGTCACCCAGGAAGGTGGATGAAAGTATTCCTACACCACCAGTTGTATGGGGACATTTGTGTGGAGCCGTTGAAGCTGGAAATTGATCACCTATGGGGGGACCAGATGGAAAAGAGCATGGGGCATGAGCCACATAAACAAGCTTTTCCAGCCTAGAAAAACATCAAGCCTCTAGACAATCCAAGCCATGGGTTGCTAGGCAAAAGGGTACCACGTACATTGTGTTGCAAAGTGTATAAATAAACACTCCTGCAGTGAGGGGGCAGTTCTTTCCCTCCCATTCAGAGAGTGCAGTTTTCCTCTTTATTTTTCTCATCCTTCTGCAGTCTTAGGAACCTCAAGAGCCACGCAGGACACTGCAGGCATTCATGATCACGCTGGCCAGAGGCGGACTTCTTGGAAAGTTCATATTTGGCTTGTGGGCTTTGGGAGAAATCAGGGAGTATTTGGTGCTTTTCTGATTTCATCCACAGCGCATGCTTCACAGTGTGACTGGGACCATGGTTGTTGGTCTTCTTATGACTGGTGTCTAGTTGTCTTCCCAAACCTCACGAGCTCATTGGTAGTGCTTTTTGGAGGTGGCAGACCTAAGGTATGTGAATTTGTACTAAGGGTGTATGACCATCAAATTAGTCCATTCACTGTCTTTGCCTAGTTCTGGGTGTGGATAACATGTAGCCTGGATAGAATAGAAGGGGAAAGAAAGGAAGATGGGCTCACTGCTGGTTACCTCCTGCTTATCCTGCCAAGGACTGTTTATCCTTCATGGTGCCCCTCAGCCATGCCACCCTCCTTGAAGCCAGCCAACTCTGAGACGAAACCTCCATAAACTATGAGTCACTTAAACCTTTGGGGCCAGGGATTTAGCTCAGCAGCTCAAGTGCTTCCCTGGTAAGTGTGAGGTTGTGAGTTTGATCCCTGGCACCTAAATTACCAAAAACAAAAAACCAAAATAAACCTTTCTTCCTTTAAATTGTAGACTCTGGGCATTTTGTACCAGCAATGACAAGAGTAACTAAGACAGTCATGCAGTTGGATACCCACAGGTTGGGCCCTGATTCTTGTGTGGCTGATTCCAGGGCTGGAGGCTGGCTTCTCTTGGAAATCTGCCACTATGGGTGCCCCTCTCCCTGTATCTTCCCTGTCTTGCCAGTCTTTGCCTGTCCTCCTTTTCTCCTGTCCATTTCCCTTCTCAGTCCCTTGTACCTTTTCCCATTCCCCGCCATGTGTCACAGGTTCTTACTTGCTTCTCTTTGGATGGTTGTAATAGTCCCTTCCTGCTGGCCTCCCAAACTCTAAGTTGTGATAAAGGAGATGTAGATGGTGGAGGTGATTCTTAGTGGGAAAATGAAGGGAAAGACATGAGGTGTGTGGTGCAGTCTTATATCCCCAGCACCAGGAGGCAGAGGTAGGAGGAGTCCAGCCTGGGCAACCTAGTGGCTCAACGAAATCCTATCTCAAAATAAAAAGTGTTTACAAAGCACTGGGGTATAGCTCCATGCACAGCCTTAGGCTTAAACTCTAGTAGTGCAAACAAGCCAACCAACCAAGCAATTGACCCACCAAGCAATCGACCAACCAACCAACACATACCAACAGTAAAAATGCAAAGGGAGCTCACCAGGGGTCCCCATGTGGACAGGGTTTTTAGTCATTCAGTGAGGCATCTCAGTGAAATGGAGGCATGAGATGGGGGGAACATAGAGAGCTACAAAGACAGAAGCAGAGGCAAAGACAGGCAGGGAGACTCCTACTGACCATGCCAGGCTGGCCCCAAGCTTGGCACGGCCTTCCCCCAGGAGCTAGTTTCCATGGACCATTTGGAAGAATCTCTACATGACATGCAAAATGCAGACCATGGTGCGTATTAAACAGGGTGGAAACCTAGTGTGGAAAACCGCTGAGTGGGTGATGGCTGGGCCCAGGACCAGGAAGGAGTTGGTGGTGAGGCTGCTCACAGCCGCATGTGAGCCTTCCTTCACTAAGGTGGCCTGGGGGCAGATTCCCCATGCCAGACCTCTCTCCTCCCTTTTGCGCCCCCCCAGGGTTCCACTTCTCCACCTGAAATTCAGGCTCCTGAATTCTAGCAGCTCTGCCTCCCCACTGTTCCTCCAGCCTGGAGTGCTATAAGGATGTTTGTTCTGCAGCTGGACGTGATTGCATTTTGGGATTTAAGTATTGCTAAGTTTGCAGCAGGATATTTAAGTTACAGGACTATCAAGGAAAGGAAGGAGCATCGCTCGGAGAGACCACGCCTCCTCCTCTGGGGAGGACCTGCCTGTGGAGCTGTAGAGCAGGGTTGTAGCACATTTGGTAGAACCATGACCTTGGGATCCTTTTCACTGGGACGCGAAGTGTGCTTCACACAGATGTTGACAGGAGGAGACTTGCGAGGGCTAATTTCAGGTGCTGGCGGGCCATGGGGTGTTGTCTTAGCCACTTTCTTCACTGCTAAAAAAACAGTCATCACCTAAAGCTAAAGGAGGAGAGGCTGGCTGGTGTTTCACTCCCTGGTATCTGGCTGTACGGCAGATAGCAGGGCAGGGTGGCTCAGTGAAGGAGAAGGTCTTGTGACCCGGCATCCTGGAAGCAGGGAGAATGGGCAGAGGGGCAGGAAGGGGCATGAACCCGGGGTGCAACCCGCCTTTCCCAACCAGCTTCTAAACTGTAGACTCCCATAACCCCATCACCTTCAAAGCCCCACTCGTGGGCACATGAGGCTCCTGGAGGACATCTAGATATAAACCCTGACATTTAGATATAAACCCCAGCATCTAGACATAAACCCTGGATCTGGATATAAACCCAGGTCCTTCCCTGCACACAACAGGTTCCTCTTGTCTGAAGGTCTTCACACAGGGACGTAGCTTGTTCCCTGTGTATGTCTCAAGCTGAAGTGTCAGCCCCCCTGTGTCCTGGGCTGCTGCCTCCTAGAAGCTCAGCTGCCCAGTCTCTGCTGTCTCTGACTTCTGGACCCACTTGCTGACCTTGGACCCGCCCACCTCCCCTCACTGTGTGAGCTGGTTCCTGAGAATCAGTCAGGTTAGTAAGTCAGTCAGTTACCAAAAGTTTTTGTTTCTCAAGAACCCCAGCCACATTGCTCCAGGCAAGCAAGGGATGAAAGAAGATGCAAGCTCTGGGGTTACTCTAGCATGGCAGTGTGAACCGGGACCCTGTTGTGGTCAGGTGCTTTTCTTTACACAGAACTTTTAAAACCATCATGACTACCTGGTGTTCCAGGTGTTTCCAGCCCAGAGGACCTTGGCTGTCACCCTGGATGACCCTGTGGTCCCTGGAGTAGGCAGAGGCTGAGGAGAGAGGTCCCACGAGGCTGACACATGTGCTTGGGTGTGCACTGAGGGTTTTGCCCTGGAGCTGCCCATTCCATACAGCACTGTAAAGGAAACTGGTGGCCTATTCAGACACACATTTAGGGATTCTCAGGTCAAGTCCTTTGCTGAGGCCTGTGGTCCCAGCTTCCTGTTACAAAGCCCTCATTTGGGGCATGCACAGCCTGTGAAAATTGCTTTATGAAACAGAAGCCCCTAACATCTTTCTGACCACAGCTGGGGGCCACAGAGGGGCAGGTGTCAGGGGTCATGGAGCATCCAGTTCCCAGCCGAGGCCACCATGCCCCTGAAGTGTGTGGAGGTCACAAGAGGCTCAGAGGGGACCCCAGGCTGGCCGAGTCCTGCTGTGCTGGCGCCTGCCTTCCTCTGTGCTCTCTGAAATGCAACCACAGACTAGTGGGGGAAACACGTGGAAGCATGGGTGAAGTGTGGTGTGGCTGAACATCCTCTGAGTCCCCATCCTGTGGTCTCCCCTCAACCCAAGCCCCATCTTTCCCCTTTCAGTCTCTCCCAGGCGAGCACCAAGATGGAAGTGTTTTGGTAAATTAGCATGACAGCTCATGTTTCAGGAAAGCAGCAGAATAATTCCACTCATTAACATCCAGAGAAGGGGACCTTGCACCTCGTGGGGTGCCTCTGCTGTGTGGGATCTGGGCCAGGGTGGGCACCTCTGTGCTTGTGCCCAGGAAGGGTTCAAAGGCAGCCTGTGGGGAGCCAGGCCACCACATTCCCGGGCAGCCCCTGCAAGGGCTGGCATTCCCAGCTGCCATAGAGCTCGAGGGACATTTGATGCCTGCTTTCCTGGGTCCCCAGTAATCTCTCTTGCATCACGCACTCTAGGGGGACTGGCTAACAGGTGACATGCCTCTGCAGATATAAGTAGCACTTGCAGGCGGACTTTCTGCCTGGGAGCAGGGAGTAGCCAGCATGGGGCAGGCTGGGTGCCAATTCCAAGCCCTGGTCTGGAAGAATGGACTTTGCCGGCTGCGGCAACCGGTGAGTGCTTGCCTGAGCTCCCAGAGGGACTGGTGTCTGCAGAGAGATGAGGCGACAGCCCCCACTGGCAGGGGCCATATCCTCACTGTCAGCTCTCAGGAAGGCTGGCGTGTGCATAGGAACCTGTCCTGGGGGCCCAGGAGCTGTGTCCTCTTCCTTAACAGCACTAAGAATACTGTTTGGATCACTTGCCTTCAACGAGTTCCCTGGTGTGGGGCTCTGTGTGGGCCATGGTGAGAATGTAAGGATTTGGAGAGTCACAAGGAAAATGCCGAGCCACCTCATGGGTGGTGCCACTGGAGCCCGGTTTTTCCATGTGGGTTTTCAAATTCAATTTTATATTCATTCTTGCCAGAAGTCAGTGAAATACTTCTGATTTCAGAGATGTAATAAGGGCAAGAAAATACAGTTAACCACACAGCAGTGCTGTGGGTGTCCTCTCCCAGGAGTTCTGTGGTCTTCTGGGCTTCCTTCTGCCCTGATTCTGATGGGGAGACCGACCCGAACTGTGGGTGGCACTGTTCCAATTGGCTCCTCAAATCTTGCAGCAGTGACCTTTCTTGGGGTCACTGTTGCCTCCCATCCCCTGTCTACAATGAAATTTAGATGTCTGGTATGGATTTTATCTCTGGTGCCTGCTAACTTCCCCCAACCCATCCTTACATGTACACAGACAGTGATCACCTACTCTGTTAATAAAAACTGACACAATTCTTTGAGTTTGGTGAATCTTATGGGAATGCGGGCTGGTGTGGGGTGTGGGGTGTGGGGCAAACTGTAACATGAAGACAGTGCTGTAGGTTGAATACCTCCAAGGGCCACCTGCCAAAGGATTGTTTCCCAGGATAGCTCTATCAGGAGGTTGTGAAAACTTGGAAGAGGCTGGACCTAGAGGAAGACTTTACGTCACTGGGGGCGTGGCCTCAAAGGAGGGAGGGGCAGTAGGGCTCTGGCCTCCTCCCCTCTCTCTCTGCTCCCCAACTCCTGGTCAGGAGACTGGTTTCACTCCAGCATGTGCTCTGCCATGATAGCTGCCTCACCACAGAACCAAAGCCGGGGGTTCCACGTCAGGGACTGGAACCACCACAATTGGAAGCTGAAATAGTTTTTCTTTGTAAGTTGATTATTTCAGGTATTGTTTTTATAATATTGACCAAGAGTTGTCTCTGCCAATCTCTGTCCTAAAACCCCATCGTTCATGCTCAGCCACGGCCTGGGAGGGGCCGGAGCAGTCACAAACTGTATCTGAAATGTTCTCCTGCCACGCACACCGCACCACAGGTCCCAGCAAAGTGCATCTTGGATCAATTCTGCATGTAACAGTCTGCTTTCTTATTTCAAAAGGCCATGCTGGAAAAAGGCCTGTGCCCTTCTAGCAATAGTTACGGCCCCTTGCCATGGCTGTGGCATCTGGCCTGGCTTGGAAGAGGCCGCTGTTTCTGTGTGGTCTCTATGATAGCAGTTTCTTCATGCAACACATGGCCAGGTCCAAGTCTAGCCCTCCCCTCAGAGGGGTCCTGTGAGCCCACCCCAGCCAGGCAGTGCCCCACTATGTATAACTTCTTCCCAGCAGCCTACTTTGGGGTTTTATCCTTAAAAAAAGCAATCCTGGGACTCATCTTTTTTCTTCAGTGATTGAAGAAGCAGATGCTCAAGCCTAGGTCCACTACCTGAAACCCTGGAGCTCCTGGGTATATGTGTTTTGCTTTCTAACCAGAAGAATCTCAAGTCTCTTTGACATTTTCCTCTACCATTGATTTCCAACACTGAACGGCTAACTTTTGAGAACCAACTTTTTTCTCAAATAACATGCTAGCCACAATTTCTGAATTTTAAGAGTTATAGATCAGAAGCCCCAGGAGTGCCATAGCTCTGATGTCTTTTGGACATTGTCTTAAGAAGTTTTCCTGTTTCTGCTTAGTGACAAGTTATAGATCATCAGTTGTTTGCTGTCAGATTCTCAGTAGAGTCTGCCAAAGAAAGTAACAGGTCAGAGGTCAGGTGTATATTCTCACTCTCAAAGGCAGATTGTAAAAATGTCTCCAGTGACCTTAAAAGGGAGGAATTCCTGGAAGATATACAGTTGAGTATATTCATTTATTTGTTTATTTTTGAGACAAGTTCTCACTGTGTAGTTCAGGCTTGAGCACACTAGGTAGCCCAGGCTGGTCTCAAACTCATGGGGATCCTCCTGCCTCAGGCTCAAGAGTATTGGTATTATAGGTGTGTGCCATCACAACAAGCCAGTTGTGCATTTTTAAGAATAATAGACTGGCTTCACATTAGGAACCCCTACCCTAACTCCCAAACTCCCTGATGTAAAGACTTTAATTATATTAACATACTGATGCTGGTTGTGTTTGTAAATCAGGTATAGATAGAATGACCTATATTTGGATTTTTGGCATAAGAATGTTCAGTGTCAGTGATGCAGAGTCTTAGATCTGAAGCCAGACACGGAGATTTGCAGAGTACTCATCCATGTTGAGTCCAACTATGCCCTTGGTAAGAGGTTTCCTGCCCAGAGAGATTTTCCCTATGGTGAGGGTCCTTGCATTGTCCTGCAGGGCAGTTGAAGAAATCTCTCATATGACCGTGTCTACTTGGGACAGGATTGCACTGACAGAGTGGCTGCTGCAACAGGAGTGTCTCGTCTAAGGCAAAGGCTAGAAGTCCAACATCGAGCTGTTGCCTGGCTGGCTCCTCTGATGGGTGGCTCTATGGGGGCTGTCTGAGCCCTGTGTCCTTCATGTTATCTTCCCTCCATGTTGGTCTCTGTGTATGGCTTTCTCTGGTATAAGGACATCCTCACTTGGGACAGGGCCCACCCTGTGATCTCATCTTAACTCTCTGTCCTCAGTAACCCTGCTTCCAAAGAAGGTCATGTTCTGAGGTGCCAGCAGCTGCAACCTTAAGGGTGAGTTTTGGGGGCAGACAGTTCAGTCTGTGGGTGCAGACCTGGCCCCACTCAGGCACCATCTGGGTTTCCCAGCTCCAGCCTCATGAGATGTGCTAAAGCCGAAGGCTAAAGCTGAAGGTGGATCACCTTGGGGCAGGAGCAAGGCCAGCCTCAAGAATACCAAGTGCCTGAGGCCCAGCACAGGACTGCGCTCTTAGTGATGCTCAGCCTCACAAGTGTATAAGTAAACGCGCTCAGCTGTTGGAGCACTCCCTTCTCCTCCTCCTCCTTCCTGTCCATTAGGAAAGGGGGCTCTATGTGGCCTCAGTTTTCTCTCTTTCGACCCTCTCATCCTGCAGAGAGCTACATGGGACATGGTAAGGAGCCCCCAGGTGGCTCAGATCTCAGGTGCCACCATCCCCAGGCATAAATGTGTTGAGTGACAGACATCCATTAGTGTGTGGCCTTGCTAGGAGACCAGTTTCATATCTCCCCTCAGGACTGACTGCCCTCCTCTCCCACTTGGAGCTGATCTATGGCTTCTGGGTTCTTCTTCACATGCTGCCTAAGGAACCAGAGTGACCAGGGGACACCACAGCTATAGCCTCTCCTAAGCCCTGACTGAGAGTGTCCTGAGGGTCACAGCCAGGACTCTCTCTAAGGCCGAGGTCTGCCTTTCAGTTAAATGTCTGTGGTTGTGTGTGTTCTAGACTGGCTGAATGGGGCTCATTTCCTGGGCATGGTGGGGGCCCCTAGGTGTGCACAAGCAATTGGCCTCTGAAGCAGCATCAGAATGCCAGGACCACAGGTGGCCTCACTGGGTGTCAGGGCCTCTCTGACTTGGGTGCATGTGGTGTGTGTTCCTGCTTAGATCCTTCTGGTGGTACATCCAGCCCACGTGTAACACATGCGCAGAGGTTGGTGAGAGCCACTGGCCATTCCTAGCCCAAGACAGCAGCCTTGGCATGGGCCACCTCACTGTCCTTGACACCCTCATGCTGACCACATGCCCATCCCACACAGTGCTCCCTGGACTGGAGACCCTGGGGAAACCCACTCCTGCCCAGTGGTCAGAATGGAGCCCAGGGCTGCTAAAGCAGTGAGCTGTGTCAAACAGCTGAGCATGCTTGGCAGGAGGAGTTCCATACACAAGCACTCTTGATCAGGATTATGGTGCCAGGTGAGGGATCCTAGGGGAAGTGTGGGCATTCTCTATTTGCTCCCCATGTTTCCAGCAGGTGCAGGAAGCCCCCTATTTCCAGTGATGAGGGCACTTCCTGGGCTTGGGGAAGAACCCACTCCCCGGGGGTAGACAGAAAAGCAAATTCAGTGATCTTTCTCCTGGTCATTCTATCTGGAGGCTGAGGGGCCTTTGGACCAGCAGAGCTTCCCTGGCTCTGAGGATTAGCTGTGCTGGGCCCTGGAGAGGGACTCGAGTTCATTCTGGAGTGTGTCAGTTTCCCAGAGCAGCGATAAGCCGTATGGGAATCTAACAGTTGAAAGGCAATCATGCTTTTGTGCCTTCAGAACCTGAGCTGCTATGTGCACAGTCGTTTGGGGTTAGTTTGCTTTCTTTCACTCCTAAGGGTGGTGTCCATAGCACTAGCTTTGATTTACTCCTGGCCTCTCTCCGCCAGCATGAGCAATTACATAACCCCCAGAGGCACCCACAATGCTGCAGGGAACTCCCCAGAAGAGGAAGATGGCAATTCGAGATTTCTTTGGCTGCAAACACCCTTTGTGTCACAAGTCCAAACCTAAGTGTAAGACTACCCCTGCCCCTCAAGGTGTAGAAAAACTACTGTATTTCAAAAACAAGGTGTCTGATTTCTTAGTCCCTCATTTGGTCATTTGCCAAAGTAAAAAGAAAAAAAAAAAATCCCAAGTTTCCACAGTGCATTTTTGCTGCTGTTGTGATCAGGGGCTGATGGTGGATTTATGCAGCTCTATAAAACATGGACCACTCTTTTTCTTCCTGTCTGTCCAGTGGAGCCAGTTCTTCCCCAAGTTCATCACCGGAGGGGGGGGGCTGGAGTGTGGGAGTGGAGAAGGATATGGGGGTGCTGAAGGGGTGAGGGGCTTCCTGCTGCTCCTGGAAGCC